GCTTCGCGATAGTGAGTCCCCGGAGCAGGATTACATGGAGCGTGGGTCAGAGCACGATGATGGGCAAGATAGCGAGCTTGAGCTGGAATATCTTGAGGAGGAAGAGGTGGAATTGGCTGGTGCTGATTCGGAAAATTATGGTGTGTCATCGTTCCACGTCCAGATGTCTTGTTTATCATCTCGGTAGCTGACAACGATATGTACTCAGACCAAGATGAAGACACACGCATACTGGAGGCTACTCTGAAGATTTCAGCTTCGCCTCCTCCAAAGAACAAAGTCACTACTCTCAAAACCATTGTCATGTCGATTCCTTTAGCCCATCTCACATATCGCAAGCTTGTCAAAACCCTTGTCGACCGAACCAATGCCATTCTCGGTGCCGCTCTCATTACTGGTGACGGATACGACCTTCAATTTACTGTTCCACGCCATCATGCCGACGCAACCGATCTTGATTTCGATTCTTTCAAGGTCATGTTGAAGAAGGCAGACAAGTGCTCGGACAACCCCAAAGCCAAGTTTCTACTTCACATTCGGGTAGGTTATATCTCACTGTCCGTGGGCTTGCTTACAAATCCCAGGACCATTCACTTCTTACTGCTGCGGACGAAGCTAACGAGGAGCCGCCAGCCAAACGACAGAAAACCCGAGTGCGTACTAGCAACGTTGACCATCTTGTCACTCACTACTAGTATGCATAGGCTCCAAACGAGTGCGATCTTGATCCTGCAAACGATATAATAAATCAACGAATGGGAATCATCCGCAACCAGCAGCTTTGTCATGAGCGGCATGGGAGCGACTACTGCTGGGTGGATCCCGATACCGGCAAACATATTTCCATGGGTCATGACCATGTCCGGACCTGGGCCATAGCCTGGGTATGCTACCGTCGAAGGGGTTGGACTGGAAAAATACTGACTACTAGACAGATAGCCGGCGATTGCAATGAGAAATTCCCACCCAATCATCAGCTTTTCGATGCTTCTAATCCACGCAATACTCATTCCCTACTCCAAGACCGTGTGGCGAGGCAAGCCGCCGCACATGCTGCTGCTAATCCATCGCCTGTCAACATGACAATCAACGTTTCTGACATCATTGCTGCTACTAATGCTCGCTCCCAAGCCATTCCATTGATTCCCACCGACAAGAGATCCGGTCCTGCGATGAGTGTCGCAGATTTCTGTCGCTCATATGATCTCAATGATGAACTTGCCATCAAGCTTCACTCCGCCGGCTTCCGCAAGATTTCCACCTTTACGCAAATCAATGTTAGCGACCTACAGGACTTATTGAAGGTGGGCGAAGTTGGGGAGCTACGAGGAGCTATTGCTGAGTGGGCTATCGATGCTTAGATAACATATTTTGTTATGTCTACCGAATTCATGCACATTGATCTTGTCAAGTCAGAAATAACCTGAATGTCGAAAGTACCCTTCAGCGTCGGCTGGTGTGATGATCTGCACTGCAATCTGCATGTTGTAGAGTAGTGCTGCGTCTTTCTTCATCACAAAAATGTTGCCATTGCGTCGAATAAAATGTTTGATCTTTGAAAAGGCCTCTTCAATCGGATTTAGGTCAGGAGAATACGGCGGGAGGAATTCAAGTCGAACCCCTACATGTTTGGGTCGGAAACATAAATAGAGCGGAAATGAAGCTCACCAAACCGCTCTACAAGCTCTAGGATATCTTCTCCATGATGGATCTTGGCATTGTCCATGACTAGGACTGACAGCGGACCAGGGAAAGGAGAAGTCAATGGAAGCTAAGATGAAGTTGGTGAGCGGGATTGAAATCGATTGACAATGCTGTTAACGCACCACATAGTTCTCCTGGAAATCCAGAAAAGCCTTTCGGTTCATAGACCCTACCACCACATAGGTTGCCACCATTCCATCCATCGTCAGCAGTCCTGTCCCAGTCAGCCGTGTCCCACGGATGAAAGGTTTCTTCGCGGTTGCGCGCCAGCCTTTGCGTGCAAAGCCATAACGGCGGGCCAGCGTCCGGTCATCCTTGGATGTCTCGTCCATGAAGCCAAGCTGCTCTGGATGATAGGTTGCCATCCGCCAAATGAAATCGATTCGAAGTGGCTCGCTGCGCTCGATCACTATTTTGTCAAGTTGCTTCCGGGTGATGTTCTGCGGTTGGAGCTCACGGCAGACCGTCATGTAATGGATGGAGATGAACCAGTTATAACGGAGGAGAGACTTGAGTTCATCGAGGAACCAGTCAGGGCGCTGGCGGATAAGGGAAAGCATATATGTGAGGTCACTGCGTATGAGGAGTCGTTTTCGGCCACGTCGACGAGATGCTGCTTTTGAAGCGCAGCTGGTTGCTCGTTGGAGTCGAAGGGCACGGAAGAATGTCGCACGGGAGAGTCCAAGAACGGAGAGGATAGTAGACAACCCAAGCAACTTTTGCTGGTAGAGTCGAAGGGCGGCCATCTTCGGGTCATTGCTGATGGCTTTGCGAGCGACCATTGTATGCAGATGGCAAGGACTGATGCCAAGGGGGATGAGGACCTGTCTGCAGAGCTAGACAGTGGTGGTGATGTCGACAAGCAAGACGCGCAACGGTGTGACGTGTCGCATCGGCCTGGCCTACCGCTCCATGATCCACTGGCGCATAGCCACCCGGACATGCAATTCAAGCGGTCTATGCAGACTAAGCATATGTTTTGGGTCCTGGAAGAGCTTAAGTTGGCTTCACCAAGTGTTTCGGGGGGGCCAAAGGTCAAATTTCATTGTCATATAAATATACTACAAGACTAGTACTAGATTGGAGGGCGCTCAACGCTGATTCCAACGCACTCAATTTCGTGGGATTCTAACCAGAATTGAGGGAGAAATGGGGGGAAGGAATTGATGTCTTCTTTTCTTAAAATTTTTGATCAGTCTCATGAAATCAGTGATTGGCAATAATTGTAAAAAAGAGTTGAAAAAGGTCAAGTGGATAGAAAATAAATCTATGGGGAAAACAGCTTCCCAGATTATGGCAAAAAAAGCTTGTCTGTAAGGTGAAAAACAGAACTTTTTTTATCACATATTGATTATTTTTTTTGTGATAAGATTGCTATTCTATTTATTGAGTTCTTTTGACTCTTTTTCCCCAACAAATAAGGGTGTCCCTTTTTTGGCCAATTATTACCCTCATTAAAATTTTTAAAAATCCTCCAGTTTTCTTCTGAATCCTCGGGGTGACTGGGGTGCCTGTTCCCCTGTTCCCTGTTGTCACATGCTGCATATTGCGGGCCCTTGGTGGCCCGATGCCAAGTTTATATGCATTTTCAAGTAATCACACATGCTCCACCACCACATCCCTCACATTTGGCAGGTACTCCACGACCTTCTTCCACACCTCATTCTTTGCTGCAATGTACTCAGGGTCCGACCTTGTCTTGCCCAGCATGAGCCAGATTGTGATATGCACAAGCCGTGGAAAGTGTGCCACCCACTGTAAGACACCATTTGCCGCTGTGATGGTCTGTGTGGCGGGGACGCTAAGCGTGAGTCGCTCGACACAGGCAAGGTTCGCGGCAGCTGTAAGAAACGGCGGAGTGTTGGCCCATGGTGCTGGCGAGGCTGGCATGACATGGAACATAAGCTGGAGCTGTACGGCCCGGGTGTCGACACTGCCGAGCGCGCGGAGATCGTCGAGGAGCAAGCCGGCGGCGGTGGCTGGTAAGCCCTCGTCGATGTGGAACGCGATGACGCCCAGGTTCGGCGAGCCGATGAGACCGGGGAGGAGGCCGGCGGTCGGCACGCCGGCGCCGGGCTCGGACAACATGTGGAGCTCCTCGAGGCCGGGGTGCGCGAGCTCTGGGGTGACCAGCGGTCCCAGTGCAGGAGTTTTGCCGCCAGTCTCCAGCCGGGTGAGCTCCGGGTGGGCGTGGAGGAAGGCCCGGAACGCGCCGGGGTCGACGGCGGCGAGCGCAACAAGGGTTTGTGATCCGATGTGCACGGTGCGCAGCGCCGGGAGGCGCGCATTGCGAAAGAAGGCCGCGAGGTACGGACGCACGGATGCGGAGACGTCCTCCTCGAGGCGGAACGTGTCGATCGCCGCGCTGTTGAAGACAATCATGCTGAACGGCCCGGATGTCCCCGCCAGTGGGGGAACGCTGCTGAACTCCACCGTGTGAAGCGCGCGCAGCTTCGCGACGCGGCGCGGGGTGCGGTCGTGGCACGTCGTGATCGTGTCCCAGCGCGTCTCGCGCGGGCGGGCCGGCGGGTTGAACCGGCCCGCGGCGAGCTCCCAGCGCGCGACGTCGCCGGCGGCGCACGTGAAGAACGCGTCCGCGAAGTGCACCACTGCCGGGCCGGGCACCCGCCGCGCGGCTACGGCGAGGGCGCCACACAGCCCGCGCAGGCTGGCGGCGTTGCCCGGGGTGAAGACCGCCCAGTCAGATTTGTTGAATGTGAGCGTTATAGTGGAGAGGTTGTTTGCCCGGCGGAGTAGCCGCTGCAGCTCGACCATGTTCCCGGCGAGGCGCGTGCCGGATGTGAGCGGGGAGTAGTCGACGGTGAGGTTCTTCAGGGAGAGTATCGCGCTGTGCGCTAGCCCGCGGAGCAGCGGCGTCTCCGGCTTCAGTGTGTGATCCTCGCGGAGCGCGGAGTCGGCCGGGAGTCCGTGACGCGCGAAGTAGTGTCGGATGCAGAGCTCGTTCAGCGCGCGGGAGACACCGGCGAACGGGAGCAGGTCGGGAGTCGCGAGGGCGGCGATGATCTCTTCATAGAGCTCCATGGGGAGTATTTCCAGCAGCGGGCGACGTCGCGTGGCAGAGCCTGCCAGTGAGGGGCTTGCATGGCGTGTTATCGGTCGACGACGTGCTGGACGCATGGGGGGCTTTCAGAGCAGGGTGTTGCCACCCTTATATACTATTTGATAGCAACAGCCGACTGTCAACGGTCGCCAGATCAATTTATACACAACCGGCGTCACATCACATGTCTCGTGCCTTGGCGTGACCGCGATGATGACTCATCCACCGCTTCTTGTTCCCGACCACGATGAGCGAGACGACGACGCACGCCGCGGAGATGCAGGCCCTGTGGCAGTGGACGCTCACGCCCGAGGCGACCGCGGCGTGCCTCGTGCAGGATGTGTTCCGTGCGCGGGAGCAGCGGGGCGACGAGAACAAGGAGAAAGGTGCGCTGTTTGACGTGTGGGGGGCAAATGCTGATGACATGGAACAGCGGGCGAGGCGGAGTTCTATTGGGTGGGCCGCGTACCGGTGCGGACGGTGCGGCTGGTCGGGATGGTGGTCGGGGTGCAGGCGTATGAGAGCAGGGTGGTGTATTCGCGTGCGTGCCCTTTCTGGTCAGAATGCGTGTTGATTGGGGACAGTGGACGACGGATCGGGGGTGATGGAGTGCCAGCATCGTCCGCCCCCGGAGAAGGGAGCGGGGGCAGCCGCAGACGGGCCGAAGCCGGTGGCGCGTCTGGGCGAGCAGGCGGTGGTCGTGGGCCGGATCGCAAGGCACAGGGATGGGAAGAGGGTGGTGGTGGACAGCATTGGTGCGTGACACGCGGATAACTGACCGTATGCATGCTGAAAGCCGGTAGAGAAGTGTCAAGACCCAAACGACGAGCCGCGACACTGGCTCGCGGTGCGTGACTTGCACGCGACACACTACGACATCGACGAGCCTTTCGTCGTCCCCGCCCGCCCGCTTCAACCTACACCTGCCCCGTCAACACCGCGTCGCACGTCGGCGACAGTGTCCCCTCGGACGCCATCGACTGCGGCAAGCAGCCCGGCCCGGGCCTCCAGCGTCGTCCCAATGTCCCCGCACAAGCTGCGCCACCCGTCTCGCCTCCGATCGCGTGATCTCACCCAGAACGCGTTCAGAATATACGTGAAGCACTACATGGCGAACGTGCCTCCGTGGTCGGATCCCGGGCCGGGCACGCCGAAGACGCCGACCCAGGCACTGAGGGCGCTGGGGGTGGACGACACGCCGCGGCCTGCCCGACACACAATGCCCTCCTCTTCTTCCTCATTCCCTCATACGCCTGCGACTTCAGCTGAAACACACGGCTTCACCGTCTCCTATCTCCGGCGCGTGCCGGCCCTCGCACTGATGGCGCAGAAGGTCGCGCACGCGGAATGGAAGCGGCGCGCGTTGGAGGCGTACAACGCTGCCAAGGCGCGGGGCGAGCGGCCCGCGAAACCCGTACCGGAGAAGGACCCAGCGCGAAGAAGAGCGAGGACGAAGCGGCTGTTCGTGTGGGCCGTGCAGCAGCTCGTGAAGGACGGCGAGGTCGTGTCGTGGGAGGGCCCGGTCCGGCCGGCGCTCGGTCCGGGACTGGTTAGCACTCAGGACGGTGATGTGAGTTTGTGGCGGATGGACTCTTCAGCGTCGACTGCAGGCGGGGATAGCACGCTGTTCTCCAACGCGAGCAGCATGGCAGATGGGGAGCAGGACGACGGCGAGTTGAGCGCGCCGGAGGACGGCGAGGAGGCGTTCGTCCCACTCACGCCCGCGTTCGTTGCCGCGGCCGTCGGGGGCGCCGTCCGTGTGCTCGCGGCCCGGGGCAAGCCGGCGGACGCGCAGGCGGTGCTAAGGTATCTGCGGAGGAGCGACGACATGTGGCGCAACCTGAACGAGGTGGTGGTGCAGGATGCGCTGCGGCTGCTCGGGCTGGCGGAGTGAGGTCTCAGGTTCTGATACCGTAATGTTCCAACGAAAAAAAAGGAGATGATGATAGGCAAAAGATGTGATCTTGTGGTGTTATACTTTATGGTCGTCTGGGGGTCGAACCCCGAGCTCGAGAGAGCGAAACGCGCATTTTTCAATACTGGAGCACCAGACTCAAGGTCTTGGAGGGGCCCCAGAGTGAGGTTTCGTCTGCATATTGTTTAGTCTGTCAGACACTGCCAGTGGAATTCAAATGAGAAATATTTCCTGATATGTTGTAATAAAAGAAGGGGGGAAAAAATCCCACATGCCTACAGCCTCTAGTATCAAACGCCAATACGGGGTCGAACCCAAGACTGTCCGATAGATTTGAAATTCGAAAGCATTGGCGCCTCTCGGGACATTGATGCTGTCTCGTTCCGCGACTCGAAAGACACCCATGCTGCAACACAAGTTTGCTCCGTTGTCTGCTGGTTTGCTTATGTATTGTATTGTACTTATTCGCCAACAACCAAGAAAGAAAACAAAACAAAATAAAAGATCCACATTTGATTATGAGGTATGCGTGTAAGGGTCACCTGGGGGTCGAACCCCAAAGCAACCCCAAAGAGATCGGCAGCGAAAGACGTGTTTCGAGCGCACTGCTCACTGGCAGTCCCTTGGACGACTTGTGGTGCTTCTCGGGACACCAGCGCCGCATTGGCTTGAGCCGCTTGACATAAGACTTGAAGCCCTAGAAGACTCTATAGTTGCTGCATTGGCCGATGAAGTATAAACATTTCAGTCCTCAGTGGTTGAATGGATCCACGACCATTCTCGTGTCCCTGGTCTGTCCGCGCCACCAATTGTCCATGAAGGCCCGATTGAGATTGCCAGCACCTGCAGTAATTCATGAACCGTATTGAAATCGCAAGGGAGGCGTGCACTTACTCTTGTGAACCGCCTGCGCTTCCTCGCCAGTGGACGGCGATCGCTCCCAGATCAAGGTGCCGTCCGGCCCAGAGTCTGCGGCTTCGAGCCAGAGGCCCGCCAGCGTAGGACAGTGGGCGGTAATGGCTGTGCAAAGCGCGCTGTCGGTCCTCGCCGCGGGCGCGCTGCCAGTGCCTGCACGTGTAACAGTACGCTCGGGCCCCTCCCGCCACGCGCCGGGCGGCTGTGCAACTGCCAACGTGTGCAGTGTGGTGGGGAGCATGTCGGGGATGCTCTGTGGGTGGTTAGGGCGTGAAAATGGCTAGGAATAAAAGTCAACGCGCCTCGTAGAATTCCGCGAGCCGGCTGCGGCCCAACTGCCAGAAGAGGCGGAGGTGCCGCAAACCTGTCGAGGCACGGAGCAGCACTCCTAGTTGGGGGGCGGGCTGCCACGGCCCGGAGGTGCGGTTGAGGCCGACGAGCCGGGCGTCGAGGTAGCGCAGGCGCGGGAAGAGCGCGTGGAAGGCGGGGCTGTGCTGCAATAGCCGGTGCGAGTAGAGAACATCCCACGCGTGAAGCGTCAGCGCAGTCAGCGATGGCAGCGGCGCGAAGAGCTCGAGGAGCGGGACGTTCTTGGGGTCCAGGATTAGATGTGCGAGGAGCGGCAGGTCAAGCGGCGGCGCGGGAGGCATGAACTGAGAGCCCAGCCCGAGCGCGCCGGGGATCTCTGAGTCGATTGAGCCTAGGGAGAGTGCGCGGATGTTGGGAAACTTCGTGAGGAGGAGGATATTAGATGCCCTGTCTTCCGGCCACCAGATAAAATGTAGGGTTTCGAGATGCCGGTTGACAGCTATGTCGCCAATATGGGCCAGCCAGTGGTCTGGCGATATGGTAAGGTAGAGTTCCGTGATTTGGGATGCCGTGTCGTACAGAAATGGGGCCCAGAGCGGCATGCTAAGATTCTGGTCTCGCTGGGGTGTCGACAGCACGGACAGCTGCTGTAGAATGATCGTCGGTGCCAGCGCGTTCAAGTCGAGCACGGCAGCGGTGCAGTTGCTAGCGAAGTGAATGCTACGGAGGGTAGGATGTGCTGCATAGAGCAGACGCAACGCCGCCGTGTCGAGGTGCACCTTCTCGAAGAAAATGGTGTGCATCCGCGTGAATTGTGTGAGTGACCGCAGGAATGTCGGAATAATTGAACACGGTGCAACGGGTCCCGTTCTGTGCGGGTGTCGTGGCGCCGATATTCCTTCGCCGAGGCGCCGCGTTCCATGGCCGCGGAAATACACGCGGCGCACACACGGCGCACTGTTTGCGCTGAGTGCAAATTGAAGGCGCGCCTCCCATGCCCCATGGTCGCTGGGGAGCCTCGCTGCAAAATGCAGCGAGTTTTGGCAGGACCTGAGTTGGATGTCGTGCAGCCGAGCGGGCCGCGTCAGCCGTGCGAGATTGGCACAGGACAGTGCCAGAGCAGCCACTGCCTTCCTGTCGCCGTGTAGGAGCTCTATGACGATGAGCCAAAGCTCGGTGGGGAGGGCCTTCATGATGGTGAGAGTCAAGATTTGAGCGTGGGAGTTTATCACGACAGTCACTGGATGGCATCATGTTATGACGTGATGATCTCAGATCATATGAGTCTTAACAGTCATCTTTATATCATAGTACCTTCATTCCCTTTGTATACCCGAATAGTGAATCTCATTGACTTTGGGTGAAATTCATCCATATAATTTCCTCTATTTACAAGAGTATATTGACATTAAGGGCCAAAATACCTAGATAATTTATTTTACAAGAACTCCTGTAACTAATGCAAGCCAGAATTATATTATAGTTCATCAAATATTGAATATATATTATGACTATGCTATATTATAATCACGGAATATATAAGGTAGTAGTAGTCGGCGGGTCTTGGGTAGCGGTCAGCAGACCGCATGTACGGCTAGGGATGAGCACAGGTCAACTGGCGGGTGATCGGAGGCTGACTCAGACCCGGACCTGCACAGCCACCCACCCATGACCTGCGGGTATGGGTGCGGGTTACCCACAGGTCTGTTCACAAACTATGATTTAAAAAAGGATCACATCAAGTGGCAAAGTTCAATTCTGTCCCAACCATCCTCTAGCTCTGGCTCTTCCTCTCCTTCAGGAAGATCGTTATCCTGGACAACCAAGAGAACTTCCTCTGTCCTAACCAGATCCAGTAGACTCCATTGTCCAAGGCAGAAGCACCTGAATGGACTCTGAAGACAAAGCACTACGTGTATGATCTAAGATCAAGTGCCCCAACTGAATAGTCGCTTGACAGATACAGAAGTGGCTAATAAGTAGATAATCAATTGCCATTCACAATAAGCACGGATAGATTGCCCGACGTTCCACCCACCACTTGATTGGGTCTTTCACGTCCTCCACATCGCCGGCTAGGTATCGATCAATTTCACTGCCCAGTGCAGCAGCAACTGGTGCTTGGAAGGCCGAAAGAGAGTCGTAATGATTCCCCTGTATAAGTCAGATAGTGGTGCTGCAGCGGTGCAGCTGCTGGGCCAGCGCTGCAAGTAGATAGTTGCGTCATGTCACATTGTAGTCACAACATCCGAGTTTGCTTCATCCCAAGCGCTTCGAGCCTTGAGCATCCCCAGCGGAAACGAAATAGAATACCTTTACTGGGCTCTCGTACCCGCCATCATTCTCAGATTCCGAGGACGAACTGACAGCCGTAGATTCGCGGTTGTAGTGGTCATCGAACCGTGATTGCAGCAGCAGCTTTGCAGTCTCAATCCACTCAGACATCCACTTTGCATCTTGGAAATAATGAAGGTGGTACCATGGGTGTAGCACTACGCGAAATAAGAACCACTAAATGACGGATAGAATGCAAATAACATACTTAGGGCGGTCCGATATACCTCGGCTCCATCTGTGAGTGAGTAGTAGCGATTTAGCGTGTGCTTGGCTACTGTACAGCTGGTGCGGATTGTTCGATGGAGTTTGGTGTCCCGCTCACAGTTAGCAAAGAATGAATCCAGGTCATCCATTGTGGGAATGACAGCCGCAAGATTTAGACCATCCCGAGAGAAGAACAAAGTCGCATCCTTGAGACGCTGCAACACTGTCAATCGACAATAATTTCCAAGAGCGAGTCACTCACCTGGAGAACTTTGGCAAGATGTTTGAGAATCTTCCACTCGGCATTCAAGAGCTCGAAGTCACGAAGCTCATTCTCGCAATCACCTGTGAATTGGTCAACAGCCTTGGGATATTTAAGCGCAAAGATGAGCAAGTTAAATGTGGAATTCCATCGGGTGCGGATATCATGAGGTATAAGGTGAACGCCAATGTCAAGCTCTCGCAGAAGGGATTTCCAACGGGGAAGCAGACACGTGCTTGAATTGACAATCTTGAATGAAAACAGTCGCACAGCAGGAATTGACATTTGTCTTTGTCAGACCTTTAGCTACAAAAAGAAGTGAGACTTCTGAGCGTCAAATGAAGCAATAACGCACCCGGAGCACTCTTTTTGATTGCTCCTCCTCCTGCAGGAGCCTTAGCATTGTCTGTCGAGGTAGTTGCAGCTGGTGTTGCAGACAGTCAGATGAGCAATAATCCAAGGTGAAGGCTACATATGTGCATCACTCGCCATGACCTTTGGGACAGGGTCAGCTGCCTTCTTTTAAATGTGTTTCTTCCAGGGTGACAGGATATTGGCTGCCGGACTTTCCTCTGCTGGGATATGATCGGGGGCAGGACATTGTCGAGAAGCATCACTGAGCTTGCGTTTTGTTTTCGAAGCCCTTGATATGAGATGGTGGGAAGAAGATAAGGTGTCAATTTATATATTAATTACGACAGCATCACTGACATATTCTATCAGACCTGAGTCACCGGTTCACCGGGTCACCAGACCGGCACTGCGGGTAGCCAATTGCTGACCCAGACCTGTACCCGCGCAGGTCAGGGCAACCCGTGCTCATGCCTACATGTACCCTCAGGATGAAATATACACCTGCTAGAGGAATTTGTCTGGGTGAGGCCAGAAAACCATGTGAGATGCCTCCCAGAAGCGGCCTGCAGAGCCATGATGATGGAAAGGCTTGGTCTGG